GTGAAAATGTTTGTAATTAACTGGCAAGTATTTAATTTAGGTTAAAAAAAAAATAAAGTAGTATTTTAAAATATAGGGAGATAGAATTCTAGAACATTCTTTTCAATATCATCTTAGAAGTATGAACCCCAGAACTGGATGTAGTACTGCAACTGTGGTCATGCTGATGGTAACTGATAGATGAAGTCATTATTGTGCCTAACATCGTGGACTCCTCTGTTCTTCTTTTAGCTCTGCTTTTGCTGTCGAACAAGAAGGTTTTCTTTCTTTACCTGGTCCTACACTTGTCAGTTCTGTAAGAGGTAAATATTTAATATCTGTTAATAAATTAGTGTCATTTCAGAATGAAAAATACAGATTTATACAGTAGAAATACCCAAGTGTTTCCACTGCATACAGTTGATTATTTTTAGTTCTTTAACAGTCGATGTTAAAAAAATAAATATGCAACAACAGTTCCTTCTTAAGTGACAGAATTGTTTCCTTGGACTGAAACTCCAGGCTAAAAGCAAGAGAAACACTTCTATGTTCTTGGGAGAGTGAGATGGAATTTATTCAGACTCTCCAATCACCAGTTCCATAATCTCTGTTGTTGGCAAAAGCATTTCAAGGCAATTTCCATTTTGGATTATTTTTGGAGTATCAGTGGGCGAGAAGGGAGAAGGAATCGTTTGCATGCAAAATGAAAAATTTGAAGTTGAACAGTGAGGCAATAAGTCTGCTAATCTATAGAATCATTGGTTTATTGTGCTGCCAAGGGAGATTTCTTTAGAGGAAAAACAGCTTCTTTTTTTTCTGTTTTTTAATTTAGCTGTAGTTCTTGTTTAGCATTTCTCTTTGCTTTTGGCTTCACGTTCTAATTGAAATTATTACATTGACGAAGATTTAAAAAGAAAAAACTGGGGGGAGGGAGATTCTTAACTCCTGAAAACGCTTATCCCTTATTCTTGATTTAAATGTAATTTTGCCCAATGAAGTGATTAATGCTCTTGCTTTCTCGCACAGGCCTGTATGCTCACAGTGTTGCAAAAAAGTAAGTAAATAAAATTATGCTTAGACCCTTTCTAAAAAGCTGTAATCTTTGTAATGATACTGCATGTTCCTTCTGCTATTCTCAACAGATGCGGTTGCCATCAAAGCCATATTCTACTCTCCCCATCTTCTCACTGGGACCTTCAACCTTGCAAAGAGGAGAAAGCTTTATGAGGCCAGAGAAACCCTCTACTAGTCACCACCGATCACTGCGGAGCATGTCCAGGTGAGAAACAACCCTAACTCAAGTGTGTCTGTTGGAAATGCTTCCTAAATGTTTCCTCTTGAGTTATCAATCATTAATTACTGTCTACTTGTTTTGTTGTCAATGTTTCTAATGCTCGTTCTAACTTTTCTGAAGCCTGAAAATCCATGTCTCTTCCACTCACTGCTTTGATTTACAGAAACAGCAGTACTGACAGCATGTCTTAAACCTGCATGTTTTTTTTATGATGTGAATAGACTCTCCAGAGATAAATCTCACAGGTGGGAATCACTCACTGAATGGGAATTCAATGATGTCTTGCAGAGATTTATCTTTTTTCCCTTAATTTTTCTAATTCTAATTTTCACCATTTTTTTTAACTTTGACATTATCAAATTATCTCCTGGTTCTGTATCTTATACACAGATGGTTGTCAAAGCTAACCCAAGAAATTAAATATAAATAATGCTCCTTTTTGAGGGCATCTGCAGTATAAACCCTTTGCATAAATCACTACTGCTATGATGCTGGGTCAAATTAGCTAAACACATCATCTGTTTAGTCAAGGTAAATGTTACACATGCCCTCAGTTAGTGACCCTACAATCTTGGCGCACTAGGCAGAAGCTGTCCTCTCCAGTGGTTGGTCTCCTGGTGTCGTTTTTGGGACCGGAGAAAGGAAGATTTGAGTCAAGACCATTCTGATGTGCTGTGTCCTGAAGGTGTCCCTTGGGACCCGCTGCCTTGCTGCTAAATGATATGACAGGTCCTGCTCTTTTGCCTTGCAGGTTGACCTCAAGGTCCAAATCTGTGGATAAGTCACATGAAGAGTTTCCCAAAGAATTAATGGAGGACTGGAGCACAATGGAGGTGTGCGTGGACTGCAAGAAGTTCATTTCAGAAATCATCAATTCAAGCCGGCGCAGCCTGTCTCTGGCCAACAAGCGAGCCAGGTTAAAAAGGAAAACACAGTCCTTCTACATGTCGTCACCGGGAACCTCTGAATACTGCCCCTCTGAAAGGACTATCAATGAGATCTGAGCCTTGTGCCTTTTTCTTTGCTTTTGTCTTCATGAGGTCATCATCCATGAGCAAGGTTGCTGAAACTGGATTATCATTCCGTTGCTTTGTTTTGCTTGACTGGCTTGAATTTGTCGTAGATCACAGGGTTCCCTACCAGAGATGCAGAACGCTGTTTAGATTGGTGCAGAATGATAACGCAACGGGTCAGCTGCTCGCACTGGAAGAAAATCAATAGTTTGAAATTGTTGCCTCTTTCATATGTGTGCGTTGAAACTAGAAAGCCTTTTCTTGCTTTCAATCTTTTTTTAACCATGCTTTGGATCATTTTTCAGGAGATGAGCTGAAAACATATGTTTAATGGAGAACCAAATGTAACCAAGTGTCAGTGTTAGCGCAGTAGCAAACAGTAAGTCATACTGGCATGACCACCCTAGTAATGCTCACGTCCTAGTTGAAACAGCAAAGGGTGGTACCGCACACCAGACACCGAGTGTGAGTGACTGTGGTCAAGACCGTCTTTCTTGGAACTGTTTCGATTGCTCTGAGATCAGGGTTCAGCACGGGACTCTACAATGTCTGTGTCTTAGGGCAGAATATATGACGAAGCTCTTCGCCCATGTGCTTGGCCATTCCCCCGAGCTGCTGTACTTTTTAAGCCTTAGTGTACTTCTAAGTGTCTCCAGAGCAGGTTTTAGTAGTCTACTTTCTATCTTGAATGTATGATGATGATGTCTACTAGTAGCAGTGAATTTTAGTAGTAGACAGAGTTGTACAGTTTATAGGGAGGACAGGAAATAAGGGAGGCTTCTAATTTTAACTGAATACCTGTAAAGTTGTTCTCATGGTTACTCAGAGAAAATGGTGGGCAAGGTGTACATTTGTATTATAATGGAGCACCCAAATACTGCTATAGTTCTGTCTGGCAGCATATTCACTGATAACCCCATTTTTTCTGGGGTTTATAACTTGGCTGTAAAAATTTGTGTTCTTCTGAAATTTGGGACAGTGCTGTCTCAGATTGGGAGCAATCTTTTTTTTTTTTTTTCCTTTAATCTTTTTTTCATTCTTTTTCCCTTTTTAAGTCGCTCATGAAAGAGTGCTAGACTAGTTGTTTAGAAGTTCCAGCAATGTCACGATGCTAACTGACATGTCATGCTTTTTTGCACTTTTTTTAATATTCAAAATACTTTTTTTAAATTCAGGCATAGCCAGAGTTTAGTCAGTAATTTGGGGCCAGGTCATTTTGGTATTTAAAAACAAGCTAACGTAGCCAAGTTATTAATACTTGAAAATCAACTACTGTAACTTTTTCATAAAATTTTTAATACCCTGAGGCATATTTAATATCTATATAGCAGTGTATTATAGAATGACATAGCAGAAAAGTTTCAGATCTATTTATTAACATTTCTATACTTCGGATTAATGAGAGATACCTCAGAACTGCTCCAAAGTAGCTGGGACTGGATTTCCATAACATGATTTTAAAGATGTATTAATCAAAACAGATTCTCCTGTCCATATCTTGTGCATTGAAAAGCCCAAGAGCAGGCAGAGGGCCCCACTAGCCCTGGTAGGACACGGTGAGGAGGCCGTGGGGCACCAGGGGTGGTTGGCTCCCATGCGGTCACTGGGCTCCGGTCCCACTGCGGGCTGCCTCCTGCTGCCCAGGGGAACACGGCTTCTCCTTCAAAGCGCATTTGCGTGTTACATTGCAGCCTTCAGAGCAGCCACGCGTATCTTTTAAGTTGATTTGAAAAGCACATGACAAAGTCTCCTTAAACCTTCCCAGGGACTCATCCATCCTTCCTGTTCTTTAAAAACCCCCATGGAAAAATGAGAATTTTTGCATATGCAGGGCTTACAGAGATAATGTTTTTAATTTCTTCTGAACCAATGCAAACAGAAAAAGTAGGGCTCAAGGCTAACTCTCCCTCGTAGGTGTCTCGTGTAGGATCAGCTGTCATGGTCCTCAGGGTACCTCTGGAGAAGGGTCTGGCATGTTAAAGCACCTAGAGTACTGGCATGAGTTGAGGATGTCGGGTTGCAGGAGGTGAGCAGCACAGGCAGACCGATTTGAAAGATCTGCTGTTGCTGGAAGGGTCGCCTGATCTCAGTCACATCAGCACTTTTTCTTGTTTCTGTGCCAAAACCAGGCCACGTGTTCGCTGCACAGTGCATCAGGAAAACTAGACTGAAAGAAATGCAGGAAATCTCACTTTGCATCTCCCCTGTTGCTGTTCTCGTTATTTTCTCTTGGAAATGCCCCAGCCACATGTTACAATTGCTCAGTCCTCTGCTCGCAGTCCTTGTCCCTGGCGTCCTCAAGCCCCTGAGGTGCCGGGTATCCAGCACGTTTATTTTCCCCTTTGAGAGGGATTTAGGACATTGCAGAGCAACAGGATCAAGGATGAGGTAACTCCTGAATGTGCGAAGGGAAGCGTGTCCCTCACGGGACACCTGTGCCCTTCTCTACCTTGGCAGTGCCTGGGGCGGCTCTGGGGAAGCAGCGGATCCTGGGGATCCAGCCGTTGCCTTCCCGGGATGCCCAGCAGCCCTTGGCTGGGGCCAGGCTCTGCTGCGCTGGGCAGGGCAAGGGCACAAACACTGAACACCACCACGGTGGTTGTACAAACCGCTCCATGTTGCTCACGCAGAGCTGCTGTGGGGCAGGGCATGGACACCTCCCTTTTTTCCTGGAAAAAACCCTCCAGGCTGCTGACACACATTGTGGCAAGTTCCAGAAAATGCGGTGCGGAGGGCTGCCTCCCCCTTCCCTCCCATCCCTTCCTCTCCACCACAGTTGCTCCGCATTATCCTGGCATTTCATTCCACAAAAGAAAAAGCGGTGGGCTGGTTTGTCACGCAAAGCCTGAGGAGCTCTGATGCCTGGATCTCTGCAGAGTGGGCTATTTTTAGCTTTCCATCTCGCAGCTTGCGTTAGCATCCCAAATCCACTGCAGCCATTTGCCTGCGTACCCTGCGGTGCTGCCCAGCTCCTCCTCCTTACGGTCTGAACCTCACATTGGCGTCAGAGGATGGAATCAGAAGCTTGTAAATATGTGTAATATATTTATTAATATTTAGGAAGTCTCCATCAATCATGCAACGGGAATTGACTTTCCCATGATGTTTTAAAAAGGAAATGAGTCTTATTTATATGTGTGTTGGCTATTATCTTTATTAGAGTTAATGCTGTCAGCCCCCTAATACAGTTTGCACTCCACAGGCATTTTAGAGTGAATTACTGCTGAAAAACAGGCAGGACTAGCACAGTCAGCTCCCTTACATGAATTTTAAAAAGATTTAATTTTTTTTTTAGCTTTATTAATATGCCCAAGGTTTGTTTAAATATATCCCAGGAGACCTAAGGAGTTAGAAATGCCACTGGCAGCATCGGCCTTGTTGTTTCGTATGTCAGCCTGGTTGTGGAGAGCTCAAAACCAGCTGTGCCTCACGGCAGCAATGGAGGAAGCGAGCAGGCCTTTGCTGCAGCTCTCACTTGTCTAAAGCCCGAAGTTTCAAATGTTCATGGTGACAATAGTGTTTTGGGGGTTTGTTGGTTTTCCCCTTTCCCTATTACTCCCCTTATACAGGGAGGGGTGTTACCTGGCAGAAATAAAATGCCTTTCCATTATAGCCTTTGTCTGTGTTAATTATTCATGTGGAAGCAGATGTAAAGGTTTTCTCTCTCCTTTTCTTTTTCATGCTTTTACAGTTTCATAAGAATAGCCAGACATTTATTTTGGCAAAGAATTGTTAATGAAAATGACCGAGTAACAGCTGAACACTGGCTGGGCTGCATGAAGGGATGGAAACATGTCAAAGTACTCTCAGAATAGCAATAAAACTGCTGGTGTAACCCCAGTGATGTGACTGGCACGTAGTGATCACTTCCAGCCAACTCCCTCTGTTACCATCGTGTTGCTACTTCCAACACTGACTGTGGAGCTGAGGCGCGTGTGTCCTGCGTGGTCACCAGGCTTTGGGAAATCTCCATCCCTCATCTTTGGGAGAGAAATGCCGGCAGGTTTTTGTGATTACTTTTAGTATTTAAACCAGAAGTGGAGAGAACATTTTTATCACAACTAGTACATTGTTCTCTTCTCTTTCAGGCTCCCGTTTTTCCCCAGGCAAGTTCAGCATCAGCTTCCATGGGCAGTTACTGGCTGCATGCTGTATAGGTTAAAACTAATTTACAAGCTCCCACTTTAGACTCCTGATTGCTGCCTTCATGCTTTACCTCATCCAGCAGCTCTGTGCATCTTTTAGGAATGTCTGTCTTACCAGCTCAGTCTCATCTGTGAAACAGTGACAGCACACAGGCATGAGGGAAAGGTGCTGCAGCTGCACACTCTGGTGCTACAGCATACGGATTATGTTGATGTTACCATGAAATTTTATAGTATTTCCATGTTGATAACTTGGAGATGCTCTGGTTTATTTCTTCTTCTTTTGTATGTATGTATCTTCAGGTCAGTCTGAGAATGTTTATGAATACTGATTCCAGCTATAAAGATCTGTTCTGTTGTTTCTGTCTGATTTTTACTCCTGTGTTTCAAATTTTTTGCATTCCTGAAATTACTCTTCACCAAAATCTCCCGGTAGGAGGACAACCAGAGAGGGGCATTAGCACAGTCTGCTGTGATGCACAAAGACACAGAACCCACGTCCTGACACCCAAGTGTAAGTTCATAAGCGTTGTCCTCACAGCAGCTTGATAAGAGTCCTGCGCCCGCAGCCCAGAGCGGAGGGAGCCCATGGCCCTCCCTGCGTTCTTGGCCTGACGTTGAAAAATCCCAGAGCTGCTCTTGTTGCTCAGTTGACCTGGCACAAGCTGAGAGCCCTTCTGTGCCCCAGGGTCCCCATCTGCAAAAACAGGGACTACAACGTGGTTACAACTGTTTTAAAGAGTTTTTAGAGCTGCTGACAGAGATCAAGTGCTCAGTGTCAGAACTAACAGGATCCCACACTGCAAGTTTCCATCAGTTTTTGGTACTTAAAGCACTTAGCACCAC